CACGACGATGACCTCAGGTTGGCGCTGCGTCGCCTCGCACGACGAGAAGCCCTGATTGTCGTTACGTCGCCTCGTACGACGATGACCTCAGGTTGGCGATGCTTCGCCTCGATTCTGACTACCAGTCTCACAATGCCGACCACTGATTTACCTTGTCGGCCACCGGTCTCAATGCTTCTAGAAGATGGCCACGCTTCGTTGTCCCTGATACCAAGGCACGACGACTTGACTAGAATTCCAACGATTGCCGTTGATTTCTTCCGCCTCTTGGGCTTCCTCGATGTCCTCCGTCGACCTCTAACCGAATCCGGCTCGAAGGACCACAATGTTCGAGGAGATGATAATGATGCTGGGTTTTCACTTACAATTAGTAGCAGTAAAAGAACACGTTTTGTCTTACTCGTGTATTGTGGCCATCTTGTCTTTTTCCCCCTCTCCAACCATTTTACATAGTTCGCGTTAGAGCGGATACTCAAAGCATAGTTCGCGTTAGGGCGGATAATCAAAGCATAAACTTAAACTTAAACATTGTGACTCACTCTGTATATCTTATGTGTGTAATTATACAATGTGTATAAGTGTATTTTTATATGTATATAAAATTATATAGTGTATAATATATAAACACACATTTTTATGTCACATTAGATGGGATCATTCCAAAGACTGGTGTATATCGAACACTGAATCACAATTATCCATAAATTCCCGAGAAAGATACGTTGAAATATTACTCAACGATGAGGATTACGAGTTTATGTGCGGTCATGTAATCGATGGAAGAAATTTGTTACCCGCGATGGGTTATCTTGTACTTGTTTGGCAAACTATCGGCATGAGAAAGAGCGAAGTGTACACAACAGTACCAATAATATTTCAAGATGTACGATTTATTCGTGCTACTCATTTGTCGAAAAATAATGCTGTAAACTTGAAGATCGCGATACTGGAAGGTATTTGTAAGATAAATTATCTTAAAGTGCAATAGTAAAATCGAGAGAAACGTATGTATGTAGATATATAAAATTATTACAGATGGAAAGTTTGAAATAACCGAAGGGGATAGCGTTATAGTGACAGGTACAGTGCAAGACACATCGAACCCAGAGCAGGAGATGGTTCGGAGAGATCTGTTACCGGAGATTAACGATGAAGAAGAACTTATGACTGAGCGGGATATCTATAAGGAGTTGAGACTGCGCGGTTATCAGTACAGCGGCTGGTTCCGTGGAATACACAGTGCGTCTATTTCAGGCAACAAAGGACATATTTTTTGGAGGAAAAATTGGGTAGCGTTTATGGATGCTATGCTACATATGTTCATTATCGGAAATGATAACAGAGAACTGTATATTCCGACAAGTCTTCAGAAATTGGTTATCAACCCTATGCTTCATTCGAAGCTACAAAAGAGTACGATTTGCATGGAAGATACGAATAATATGGATCAACGTAAGTATTCTTTAATCACTTGTTCAATTGTTTTATTTTAATGAATATCGTGCGAGACAATGTTATAAGATGTATTATTTTGTCTTATTACAGTATTACCAGTACGAGTACATAAGGAAATAGACACGATTATATCTGGCGGAATAGAGATACGAGGTCTTAGAACAACTCAGATTTCTCGTCGAAAATTAGCTCAAGATACTGTTATCGAAGAATACGTATTTGTAGCTCATCATGATCGCGCCAACATTTCTCTAGACGAAGCCATTCGGATATCGGCACAACTCGCACTGGAAGATCATCTAATCACCAACGTGAAAGTTATCGAGGTGGTGGAAGATGTCGACGATGTCGCATTAGAATATCTCTCATCTTCGTTGCTAATTGACGCTTTTGGTGATGAGCCATTGATACAAACGAACATCACTTTATTAACATCACCGAATCGTTTTAGTCCAGCAGACCTGCCGCAGAACATTTCACTCGGGGATATAAATAAATCATCTGTAGACGATAAAGTCTTAATAGTTGCCGGATTCAATCTTTTGACGAAACAACAAGCTTTGTTAGAACGACTTTTGTCATTTCTGAAAGGAGGTGGTTATCTATTAACGCGTGAGAAATGTGACGTAATTGACTATACTAAATATTTACAGCAATACGAATTAAATGTTATTCTTGAAAAGCGTACCGACAAAGAAATGATCGTACTTTTGAAGAAAAAAGTTCTGATAGGAAAACGAATAGTTGTCTACATAAATAATGATAATTTTAATTGGCTGGAGGATCTAAAGCCGCTAGTGAGCGACGAGAGCAAGCTCGAGAAGAGTAACAGGATTATAATTGTTGGGGAGAAGGATTTCGAGTGTGGTTTGTTAGGTTTTATTAATTGTTTGAGGAGAGAGCCAGGCGGGGAACTTGTTAGAGGTATGCTTATTCAAGATGAGAAGGCTCCTAAGTTTTCTTTACAGGACCCTTTTTATGTTCAGCAATTGCAAAAAGATATGGTCATTAATGTATTGCGATCTAACAAGTCTTGGGGATCATACAGACATTTGCGATTATCGAGGCCAAAAGCCGAACCCGTATCAACAGCTCATATCTGCCAAATGGTATATAAACCTTTTTAAAGTATATTTATATTTATTCATTATACAGGGTGTCGGATTCGATTTGGACGACTCCAAAGATTATAGTAGATTGGGTCGAGCTGAGAAGAAAAGTTATATACCATTTTTAAAATTCGTAATTATTATTGCGCAATTAATTAAGAAAAACGTCTGAGCCAATAAGTGCACGGAGGAGCTGAAGGCCGGACTCGGCAGACATACAAAATGATGTATTATTCTCCTACCACCAGAAAAACTTTTTCGGCGCGTTGTCATATGTCGCGCGTTCGCTCGCTGCGCGCCGTTCGCCCGCTCACCGCTCCCCGCTCGCCCCCGTCTCTCATCGATCGATGCGTGACTCCACCTCTCGCTATCGGATCTTGAGAGATGTCAACAAATACACCATTTTGCATGTCTGCCGAGTCCGGCCTTCCGCTCCTCCGTGCACTTGACTCAGACGTTTTTCTTAATTACGCGATAATAATTACGGATTTTGTAAAATGGTATACAAACTTTTCTTCTCAGTTTGACCCAATCTACTATAATCTTTGGAGTCGTCCAAATCGAATCCGACACCCTGTATAATATAAAGTATTTTAAATACGGTCACAATATTTCTTTACGATATTAAAAATTTTGTTTTACGTATGTTGCATATTATAAAATTGACATCTATCACTTTATTGCATTCCGACATACAGTCACAAAATGTGACTTGGTTTACAGACTTAATACACTAATACCTTCCATACTTTTAGCCCTATACGTCTGTAATTAATAATTTTAATACTTTTTGTTATCACTATATTTTCTACTTATCCTAATATTGTTTATGTTCTCTATGTCCACCTCTGTTTCTTTCTTTAGTCCTTATCCTTCCTCTTTTCATCAAAATTGTTATGGCCTTTCTTCATCATTCCTTCTCGTACGTGTCCCTGTCTCTTTACTTTTCTTCATGTGTATCTGCTAATATTTATTTCCTCTTTACCACCCTTTTCCTTTTCTCTTCGACTTATTGTGTTAAGAATTGGGACTAGGTCTTTTCTTGCTTCCATCCCCAGTGAGAAATGATTCATCGATCGACGTCGAAATGATGTTGAATCGACGCCAATTGGACGGTGTCGATGCCGATTCGACGTCGTTTCGGCGTCGATCGACGAATCATTTCTCACTGGGTCCGCTCTATCCCTTACCTTATCAATAAATTTTTTATGAACACCGTCATTTTATCAATTTTCTCTCTCTCTATTTTTTATGCTCTTTTCTGTTACCCTTTTGCGTGTGTTCTTTTCCTCTACTTCGACACTCTTCTTCCGTCCTCCTATCTTCTATCCTTTTCCCCCAATCCTCTCTATCATCATTAAAAACGAGGGCTGCAGTATATCTTCTTTCTTCTCACCTTATTCTTTCTTAAAATCAATCAGTCAAATTATGGTTGAAAATCACATGAATAGTTACTAATAGTTATAGTATATTGATTGATTTAAAAAGAGTTCCTTTGCATGTTTTTCTTCATCTTCCTCTCTTTTCAGACGGTAAAATATCTTCCCTCGTTCCCTTTTGTTCAACCACACACCTTTCTACTTTCTTGATATCTATAAATTTATACTATGAAATTTATATTTTTTTCTTTCATAGGGTCATGGTGATCTAAGTACATTTCGTTGGATAGAGAACAGTATATCTGTCGAGACGCGTCATGAAGATTTGGTGCGTGTGATTTACTCATCCCTCAATTTCAGAGACGTGATGTTAGCGAATGGCAAAATCTTTATCCAAAGTACCTCTCGAAGACGGTTATGTCAAAGTTTACCACTTGGACTGGAGTATGTCGGATTCGATGCTGATGGGCAACGTGTAATGGGAGTCGGTGATACTGAGTAAATAATGCTTCAAAAGATAATCATGTTGTGTAATACGATAGAATTGAAACAAAACTAAGATTATTCTTTCTAGCTGTATAGCAAACGTTGTTGTAAAAAACAAAGAGTTCTGCTGGAAGATACCTGATGCATGGGCATTTGAAGCGGCGGCGACAATTCCGTGCGTATACAGTACAGTTTACTTAGCCTTGTACATTTATGGAAAAATGAGAAAAGGCAAAAAGGTACTTATACACTCTGGTACTGGCGGCGTTGGACAAGCAGCTATTCGCCTCGCTCTCAAAGAAGGTTGTGAGGTATTCACCACCGTGGGCACAAACGACAAACGGAACTTTATTAAGAAGATGTTTCCGACCATTCTGGAGAAACATATTGGAAATTCCAGGGACACCAGCTTTGAACAAATGATAATGCGCGAAACGAACGGTCGCGGCGTTGATATCGTGTTAAATTCATTGGCGGAGGATAAGTTAATCGCATCTGTTCGTTGTTTAGCACGAAATGGTCATTTTTTGGAGATTGGCAAATTTGATCTTATTTCTAACAATCCTTTAGATATTTCTCTGTTTCGTAAAGGTATTACATTCCATGGCGTTTTATTCGACAATATGTTTAGTGGCAACCACAAGTACAAATCACTATTGTACAAAATGGTAGCTGATGGTCTTAGAGATGGAACCATCGAACCAATTCAAGCAAAAATTTTCCCGAAAACAGAAATCGAGGAAGCCTTTAGGTATATGGCAAGTGGAAAACATATGGGAAAGGTATGCTAGTACTGATTAATAATAGCTCACAGAGAATTATTCACAATAGAAGCCTATAACAGAAATCCGTTTTATATAACATGAATTTTTAACATTTGAATATTTTTGTAGATAATTATAAATATACAGGAGCCGGATAAACCTTTAGACAAACCCATTTTTGCATATCGTCGTTATTACTGTCTCAGAAATAAAAATTACATTATACTAGGAGGTCTAGGCGGGTTTGGTTTAGAATTAACCAACTGGCTGATACTTCGAGGCGCCAGAAATGTTGTGCTGATATCGCGAACTGGAATAAAAAACGGGTATCAACGCATGAAAGTTCGCCTTTGGAAGTCGTACGGTGTAAATGTGCTGATCGTGAAAGACATCAATGTCGCTGACCCCAAGGATTGCGAATACCTCTTGCAAACTGTCGAAAGGG